CCCACACATCCGCCCCACACATCCACCCCACACATCCGCCCCACACATCCGCCCCAGACATCCGCCCCAGACATCCACCCCACACATCCACCTCACACATCCACCCCAGACATCCACCTCACACATCCACCCCAGACATCCACGCCACACATCCACCCCACACATCCACCCCACACATCCGCCCCACACATCCACCCCAGACATCCACGCCACACATCCACCCCACACATCCGCCCCACACATCCACCCCAGACATCCACCCCACACATCCACCCCACACATCCGCCCCACACATCCGCCCCAGACATCCACCCCACACATCCACCTCACACATCCACCCCAGACATCCACCTCACACATCCACCCCAGACATCCACGCCACACATCCACCCCAGACATCCACCTCACACATCCACCCCACACATCCACCCCAGACATCCACCCCACACATCCGCCCCACAAATCCGCCCCAGACATCCACCCCACACATCCACCCCACACATCCACCCCACACATCCAACCAATCAGCCGGCAGCAAGCCCCTCCTGTGTATAATCACTATACAATCTTATAATGTAATCCCCGGGATTTTTAGACTTGGTAGTTATGAATAATATTAGCATACTAAGGCTTACACCTGAACGCTGTGTTCACTGTGTGTATACTGGCTATACACTCAACGTTGTGACGCACATACACTACACCTTGGTGTACCGCATGTATACGTGTATACCACATACTAAGGCTTACACCTGAACGCTGTGTTCACTGTGTGTATACTGGCTATACACTCAACGTTGTGACGCACATACACTACACCTTGGTGTACCGCATGTATACGTGTATACCACGTATTAGGTGAGTACCTAGTTTACGAGGGTATTAGCATCCCCTTCAGAATGAATCGTAGAGAATTTCCGCTTATTAAAGTAATATTTCTATTATCTCTAGTTATAATTCAAAATAATAATTCATTGTGTGTGTGTGGGGGCGGGGGGACAGGGAGCCTGTGTGTATATTCCTGTTAAATTTGTGTGTATATTCATGTTAAATTTATATCTAGGTTCCCCCCCCCTCAGAATGGAGCCCCACAACAAGCTGACTTAACTCCCAGTTACCCATTTACTGCTAAGTGAACAGATGCATTAGGTGATAGGAAACACGTCGAACACTTTTTGTCCTGTCCGGGATTGGAATCCCGGTATTCTGAGTCGAGATCGAACTCCACTGTTCCCGTTTCTTTACCTCATACAAAAGAAATGGAAATTGTCATTCCTTGTTTCACGGCGCTGTCCCGACCCCTTCCAAGGGTTATATAGTTTTATTTATTTATTTATTTATTTATGCATATACAAGAATGTACATAAGGAATGTGAGGATACAAATATGGTAATTACAGTCTTGTTAAGCCACTAGCACGCGCAGCGTTTCGGGCAGGTCACGCAGCGTTTCGGGCAGGTCACGCAGCGTTTCGGGCAGGTCACGCAGCGTTTCGGGCAGGTCTTAATCTCAGGTCAGGTCATAGTCTTAATGGCTTGGCGCTTATCCCCTAACAAGTCCCTTCCCTTTCACAGCGCTATTAAAATCAGTTTGATCAAACTTCTCTTGACAGGAAGTCCAATGGAGAGGTTGTCAGTGGTCCTTCACAAGCAAGGAAGGGATCGGTGGCGGGTTTCTTAAAGTCTCCGCTAATCTCTCAACCTCTAATTTGACAGAAAACGGAGTAAGTTCGTGCAGGATAAACTATAACTGAATCCCAGAAACTTTAGGATAAGTAACCTTATCACTCAGGCTATGGTGCTTGCCTTGATGCCTGAAAGAAAGCTTGGAGGGCTGGTAAAATAGCAGAACTAAGACTTGAGGATAATCCTTGGGTGTCCTCGTACCACAAAGATACTTAACATGAGGAAGGAACTTAATATTCCGAGCGTTGTTAATCGTGTTACTGAAATTAACTGTCAAATTGGTATAAAAATGCCTAGACTAACTCATCCTGACCCTTGCACAGAAGCCCTCCAGAATTTCTTTATCGAAGGTCAACATTGTTCCAAATGGATAACTAAAACTGGAACTGAACTCAAAATGTATCAGATTTATCATTTGTACCAAGAGAAACAACAACGGCACTTTCCTGCACCGTGGGAGGTTACACCCTTTCCAGTTTTAATCCCTCCCTTTCCACCCAAGAAGCAAATTAGAGATCAGCCCAAGCTTGGTCTTGAGGCAAAGCTCAACGCCTTAAGCCATATTGATGCTCTGTCCACAGAGCATTCTCTCTCTCAAATCATATACACTGATGGTTCCCTACACCGCACCACGGGTGCAGCTGGGAGTGCAGTTGTCCTGACAATGGGCGATGGCTTATACTTTGAGTGGGGAGTCCGTATAAACAACTGGGCCTCTACCCTTCAGACTGAACTATTTGCCTTGATCCTTGCACTGAAATGTGTACAAGTCTCCAAACTTGATACATTAATTGTAAGTGACTCCTTATCATCCTTAATTGCTCTCAACTCTTCAAGACATAACTGTAACATGCTCGTGTCCGAAGCTAGACACAAATACAACAAAATTATTAATGATGGTAACAGAGTCCATTTCATGTGGTCTCCATCTCATGTTGGCCTCCGAATGCATGACAGAGCTGATGAGTTAGCCAAAGAATCTGCCTTTAAAGGAGCCGTTGAGTGTAACCTTGGATTGTCAATGAGCAATCTGAGAGCAGCAGTACACCGAGAACTTCAACAAGATCTTGTATATTTAAGACAAAGTGAAATTGACACCAGTAATTCCATCTATCATCATACTATCATGCAAGAGGAGCCACACATCTATGGATCATCCAATAAAATCAGCAGACTTCTAGATGTTACTACTGCTCGGCTTAGACTCGGTTACAAGTATCTCTGGGAATTCTCATTATCTGCTGATGTAGACCTGACCAAATGTAAACTGTGTCAACAAAATTATTCGCACACCCTCCGTCACTATGTGATGGAGTGCGAAAAGATACGTGAATTCAGAGACAATTCTATAACCAATGTTCCAACGATGTGTCAATATTTCATTCAAAATGATCTGCTACCAGAAATTTTAGCCAAATATCCCCAGTTTGCTAACTGTAGGTAGTAACTAAGTGACTGTAACCTATCCACCGCTGCCCACTGGATGGGGGACGGTGTGCAGGACAAACATATAAATTGTAACACTAGCTCTCCACATATGTCAGTTGCTTAATTTTGAAACAGTACTTGTGGTCGGTCTCGAACCCATTGTTGATATAACGATGTGCTTTGAAGTTTTGTAACTGGCTCATCAAGATTGTAACTTGCTTAGCTAAATGAATTGTGGGGTTCAATCCCTGAGCCCATTATGTGCCTCTGTAACCCTTTCCACTATCGTCCACAGGACGGGTATGGGGTGCATAATGAATAAACTAAACTAACCAGACACTTAAAACTAGATTTATTGAATTCTGTATATATACAAGATGGTACAATGGGTTAGGTAAGTGCACATGTTGGTGAGTCACTGGGACAGTGTTACAAGGCCACTAACGTGTACAGGGTTTCGCGCAAGTCTTAAAGCTAACACAATATTCACAGTGAATTTGAAGTTACAATTGATGAAGAGTTAAACTTACCCAGATAAATAATACTAGTGGCTGGGGTATACAATTATTAAGTGGAGTAACCTGAAAGTTTACATGCTGAATTGACCTTAAGAGGCTAACATAATGATAAATTATACTGATGGGGTTATGAATGATTACGGTTAAGGATAGTTTACCTGAGTTTACTTGAGGGCCACTAACACTAGTGGCCTCGACGAGGACAGGAAGCCGGCGGCTTGTTGAAGATCCCTTCCATTTGCCTCGATGATCTTTTCCAGCTATAGTTTAAAAGCTAATAGAGCTCTGGCCTTTACGGCTTCGGCGGGTAGGCGGGTTCACGGGAAGAATGCTACCAGGACCAGGCAAGATAGTGGTTGAAGGATGGCTACTTCAGGAATTTTGGTTCTTCATTGTTGTACTTCTTAATTCAGTGTTGAGTAAGTATACTTTTACTTGACTGAGAAGAAGTCAAAATGGTGCCCAACCACTCTCAATGGTAGAGTGACGGTCAGGCTACTTGCAGGTCCGCGTTCAATCCCCGACGGTTCAAGTAGTTGAGCATTATTCATTTCCTCCGTCCTATCCTAAATCCTCATCCTCATATCACTTATAAGTGCTATAGAATTTAATTGAACTATCAGGGGAAAGCGCCAAGTCATTACGACTATATAGCACTTGGAAGGGATCAGGATTTGGGATGGGACGGGGAATAGGAATGGTGCCCAACCACATAGACGATCGGGGATTGAACGCCGATCTGCATGACGCGAGACCGTCGCTCTACCGTCCAGCCCAAGTGGTTGGTCATAAGTGCTATAGAGTGGTAATAGCTTAGTGATCTTACCTGGCCTTATGAAATAATAAAATTATAAGGTAATATAATTACCTTACTATAATTGACAAGGCAGTTCCATATACTGAGGCCCTTAACTTGCTTGGCCGCTACGCTACGTGTGTTAGAGCCTTGTAAGAAAGTAAGAACACCAGGGTTATGTACTCTCATAAACCAAATTTAAATTCTTGTAAATAAATCAATCAATAAATAAACGTACTTTCATAGATTTAATAAACGTACTTACATAGATTTAATAAACGTATTTTCATAGATTTAATCTGACTCAGAGACTATCAGGAAGCTGTGACATTCAAGGGTTCTATTATATCCTTCTGAGAAGAATTTGCAGTCCCGATTAGTATTGAGAAATACAGATTTGTAAGTGTAAATAGCAAACTTATAAGTGTAAGTGTAAATAGCACACTTATAAGCGTAAGTAGCATACTTATAAATGTAAGTGAAGGTAACACACTTATAAGTGTAAGTAGCATACTTATAAATGCAATTGTAAGGAGCAGTAACTGTGTTCTTGATGTTATAATCTCTTTACAGTATCCTGTAGCGTATATCACAGGTCGAGTCCATCACAGGGTCGAGTACCTCAGAGGTCGAGTCCATCACAAGTCGAGTCCATCACAGGGTCGAGTACCTCAGAGGTCGAGTCCATCACAGGTCGAGTCCATCGCAGGTCGAGTCCATCACAGGTCGAGCCCATCACAGGGTCGAGTCCATCACAGGGTCGAGCCCATCACAGGTCGAGTCCATCACAGGGTCGAGTACCTCAAAGGTCGAGTCCATCACAGGTCAAGTCCATCACAGGGTCGAGCATATCACAGGACGAGTCCATCACAGGGTCGAGCCCATCACAGGGTCGAGCCCATCACAGGGTCGAGTACCTCAGAGGTCGAGTCCATCACAGGTCGAGTCCATCGCAGGTCGAGTCCATCACAGGTCGAGCCCATCACAGGGTCGAGTCCATCACAGGGTCGAGCCCATCACAGGGTCGAGTCCATCACAGGGTCGAGCCCATCACAGGGTCGAGCCCATCACAGGGTCGATCCCATCACAGGGTCGAGCCCATCATAGGGTCGAGTACCTCAGAGGTCGAGTCCAACACAGGTCAAGTCCATCACAGGTCGAGTCCATCACAGGGTCGAGCCCATCACAGGGTCGAGTACATCACAGGTCGAGCCCATCACAGGGTCGAGCCCATCACAGGGTCGAGCCCATCACAGGGTCGAGTACCTCAGAGGTCGAGTCCATCACAGGTCAAGTCCATCACAGGGTCGAGTCCATCACAGGGTCGAGTCCATCACAGGTCAAGTCCATCACAGGGTCGAGCCCATCACAGGGTCGAGCCCATCACAGGGTCGAGCCCATCACAGGGTCGAGTCCATCACAGGGTCGAGTCCATCACAGGTCGAGTCCATCACAGGGTTGAGCCCATCACAGGTCGAGCCCATCACAGGGTCGAATCCATCACAGGTCGAGCCCATCACAGGGTCGAGTCCATCACAGGTCGAGTCCATCACAGGGTCGAGCCCATCACAGGTCGAGCCCATCACAGGGTCGAGCCCATCACAGGGTCGAGCCCATCACAGGGTCGAGTCCATCACAGGTCAAGTCCATCACAGGTCAAGTCCATCACAGGGTCGAGTCCATCACAGGTCAAGTCCATCACAGGGTCGAGTCCATCACAGGGCAAGTCCATCACAGGGTCGAGTCCATCACAGGTCAAGTCCATCACAGGGTCGAGTCCATCACAGGGTCGAGTCCATCACAGGTCAAGTCCATCACAGGGTCGAGTCCATCACTGGGTCGAGTCCATCACAGGGTCGAGTACCTCATAGGTCAAGTCCATCACAGGTCAAGTCCATCACAGGTCGAGTCCATCACAGGTCAAGTCCATCACAGGTCAAGTCCATCACAGGTCAAGTCCATCACAGGGTCGAGTCCATCACAGGTCAAGTCCATCACAGGGTCGAGCCCATCACAGGTCAAGTCCATCACAGGTCAAGTCCATCAGAGGGTCGAGCCCATCACAGGTCAAGTCCATCAGAGGGTCGAGTCCATCACAGGTCAAGTCCATCACAGGTCAAGTCCATCACAGGTCAAGTCCATCACAGGGTCGAGCCCATCACAGGTCAAGTCCATCACAGGGTCGAGTCCATCACAGGTCAAGTCCATCACAGGGTCGAGTCCATCACAGGTCAAGTCCATCACAGGGTCGAGTCCATCACAGGTCGAGCCCATCACAGGTCAAATCCATCACAGGTCAAGTCCATCACAGGGTCGAGTCCATCACAGGTCAAGTCCATCACAGGGTCGAGCCCATCACAGGGTCGAGCCCATCACAGGTCAAGTCCGTCACAGGGTCGAGCCCATCACAGGTCAAGTCCATCACAGGTCGAGCCCATGACAGGGTCGAGCCCATCACAGGTCGAGCCCATCACAGGGTCGAGCCCATCACAGGGTCGAGCCCATCACAGGGTCGAGCCCATCAGAGGGTCGAGCCCATCACAGGGTCGAGCCCATCACAGGTCGAGCCCGTCACAGGGTCGAGCCCATCACAGGTCGAGCCCATCAGAGGGTCGAGCCCATCACAGGTCGAGCCCATCACAGGTCGAGCCTATCACAGGGTCGAGCCCATCACAGGGTCGAGTCCATCACAGGTCAAGTCCATCACAGGGTCGAGCCCATCACAGGTCGAGCCCATCACAAGTCGAGCCCATCACCTGGTCGGGAGCTGGGTCTCACTGGTCACTACATATCGTTAACTACTGAAGTGTTCTAGATGATGTCTGGTCGAGGACCGGGCCGCGGAGACGCTAAGCCCCGAGATCATGTCAAGGTAACCTCAAGGTTCTATTGGCCCGGACTCACTTTACTGAAGTGTTCTGTTTCTCGACGTCACCCGCATGCGGCAGACTGGTAGACCTTCTCTGGCGTAGTGACGGCGTCCCGCACTCCCCGCGTGACATTATGTGGCGGGAGACGCAACACTGAGACCTGTATGGAGGAGACTCGCGGGGTGGAGTATGATGGTGGACTCCATTACCGCCAGTCGAACAGTCACCAGGCACTGTACCACTTGCTGATCACGACTCAACAGTCACCAGGCACTGTACCACTTGCTGATCACGACTCAACAGTCACCAGGCACTGTACCACCTGCTGATCACGACTCAACAGTCACCAGGCACTGTACCACCTGCTGATCACGACTCAACAGTCACCAGGCACTGTACCACTCTCTGATCACGACTCAACAGTCACCAGGCACTGTACCACCTGCTGATCACGACTGAACAGTCACCAGGCACTGTACCACTTGCTGATCACGACTCAACAGTCACCAGGCACTGTACCACCTGCTGATCACGACTCAACAGCCACCAGACACTGTACCACCTGCTGATCACGACTCAACAGCCGCCAGGCACTGTACCACCTGCTGATCACGACTCAACAGTCACCAGGCACTGTACCACTTGCTGATCACGACTCAACAGTCACCAGGCACTGTACCACCTGCTGATCACGACTCAACAGCCTCCGGGCACTGTACCACCTGCTGATCACGACTCAACAGCCTCCGGGCACTGTACCACCTGCTGGTCACGACTCAACAGTCACCAGGCACTGTACCACTTGCTGATCACGACTCAACAGCCACCAGGCACTGTACCACTTGCTGATCACGACTCAACAGCCTCCGGGCACTGTACCACCTGCTGATCACGACTCAACAGCCTCCGGGCACTGTACCACCTGCTGGTCACGACTCAACAGTCACCAGGCACTGTACCACTTGCTGATCACGACTCAACAGCCACCAGGCACTGTACCACCTGCTGATCACGACTCAACAGCCACCAGACACTGTACCACCTGCTGATCACGACTCAACAGCCACCAGACACTGTACCACCTGCTGGTCACGACTCAACAGTCACCAGGCACTGTACCACCTGCTGATCACGACTCAACAGTCACCAGGCACTGTACCACTTGCTGATCACGACTCAACAGTCACCAGGCACTGTACCACCTGCTGATCACGACTCAACAGTCACCAGGCACTGTACCACTCTCTGATCACGACTCAACAGCCACCAGGCACTGTACCACTCTCTGATCACGACTCAACAGTCACCAGGCACTGTACCACTTGCTGGTCACGACTCAACAGTCACCAGGCACTGTACCACCTGCTGATCACGACTGAACAGTCACCAGGCACTGTACCACCTGCTGGTCACGACTCAACAGTCACCAGGCACTGTACCACTTGCTGGTCACGACTCAACAGCCACCAGGCACTGTACCACCTGCTGATCACGACTCAACAGTCACCAGGCACTGTACCACCTGCTGATCACGACTCAACAGTCACCACGCACTGTACCACCTGCTGATCACGACTCAACAGTCACCACGCACTGTACCACCTGCTGATCACGACTCAACAGTCACCAGGCACTGAAACAATCTCTGATCACGACTGAACAGTCACCAGGCACTGTACCACCTGCTGGTCACGACTGAACAGTCACCACGCACTGTACCACCTGCTGGTCACGACTGAACAGTCACCAGGCACTGTACCACTCTCTGATCACGACTGAACAGTCACCAGGCACTGTACCACTCTCTGATCACGACTCAACAGTCACCAGGCACTGTACCACTCTCTGATCACGACTCAACAGTCACCAGGCACTGTACCACTCTCTGATCACGACTCAACAGTCACCAGGCACTGTACCACTCTCTGATCACGACTCAACAGTCACCAGGCACTGTACCACTCTCTGATCACGACAGCAGGGGGAACACTAATGCCAGCAGGGGCACACTAATGCCAGCAGGGGGCACACTAATGCCAGCAGGGGGCACACTAATGCCAGCAGGGGCACACTAATGTCAGCAGGGACACACTAATGCCAGCAGGGGGCAAACTAATGCCAGCAGCAGCACACTAATGTCAGCAGGGGCACACTAATGCCAGCAGGGACACACTAATGCCAGCAGGGGGCACACTAATGCCAGCAGGGACACACTAATGCCAGCAGGGGCACACTAATGCCAGCAGGGACACACTAATGCCAGCAGGGGGCACACTAATGCCAGCAGGGACACACTAATGCCAGCAGGGACACACTAATGCCAGCAGGGGGCACACTAATGCCAGCAGGGACACACTAATGCCAGCAGGGACACACTAATGCCACAGGGACACACTAATGCCAGCAGGGACACACTGATGCACACTAATGCCAGCAGGGACACACTAATGCCAGCAGGGACACACTGATGCCACAGGGACACACTAATGCCAGCAGGGACACACTAATGCCAGCAGGGGACACACTAATGCCAGCAGGGACACACTAATGCCAGCAGGGGCACACTAATGCCAGCAGGGACACACTAATGCCAGCAGGGACACACTAATGCCAGCAGGGACACACTAATGCCAGCAGTGACACACTAATGCCAGCAGGGACACACTAATGCCAGCAGGGACACACTAATGCCAGCAGGGACACACTAATGCCAGCAGGGACACACTAATGCCAGCAGGGACACACTAATGCCAGCAGGGACACACTAATGCCAGCAGGGACACACTAATGCCAGCAGGGGGCACAGGGACACACTAATGACAGCAGGGACACACTAATGCCAGATGACACAGGGACACACTGATGCCAGCAGGGACACACTAATGCCAGCAGGGGCACACTAATGCCAGCAGGGACACACACACTAATGCCAGCAGGGGCACACTAATGCCACAGGGGCACACTAATGCCAGCAGGGACACACTAATGCCAGCAGGGGCACACTAATGCCAGCAGGGACACACTAATGCCAGCAGGGACACACTAATGCCAGCAGGGACACACTAATGCCAGCAGGGACACACTAATGCCAGCAGGGACACACTAATGCCAGCAGGGACACACTAATGCCAGCAGGGGCACACTAATGCCAGCAGGGACACACTAATGCCAGCAGGGACACACTAATGCCAGCAGGGGCACACTAATGCCAGCAGGGACACACTAATGCCAGCAGGGACACACTAATGCCAGCAGGGACACACTAATGCCAGCAGGGACACACTAATGCCAGCAGGGACACACTAATGCCAGCAGGGACACACTAATGCCAGCAGGGGGAACACTAATGCCAGCAGGGGGAACACTAATGCCAGCAGGGACACACTAATGCCAGCAGGGGCACACTAATGCCAGCAGGGACACACTAATGCCAGCAGGGACACACTAATGCCAGCAGGGGGAACACTAATGCCAGCAGGGACACACTAATGCCAGCAGGGACACACTAATGCCAGCAGGGGCACACTAATGCCAGCAGGGACACACTGATGCCACAGGGACACACTAATGCCAGCAGGGACACACTAATGCCAGCAGGGACAGGGGGACACACTAATGCCAGCAGGGGCACACTAATGCCAGCAGGGACACACTAATGCCAGCAGGGACACACTAATGCCAGCAGGGACACACTAATGCCAGCAGGGACACACTAATGCCAGCAGGGGAACACTAATGCCAGCAGGGACACACTAATGCCAGCAGGGGCACACTAATGCCAGCAGGGACACACTAATGCCAGCAGGGACACACTAATGCCAGGAGGGGCAAACTATTGCCAGCAGGGGCACACTAATGCCAGCAGGGGCACACTAATGCCAGCAGGGACACACTAATGCCAGCAGGGGCACACTAATGCCAGCAGGGACACACTAATGCCAGCAGGGGCACACTAATGCCAGCAGGGGCACACTAATGCCAGCAGGGGGAACACTAATGCC